GCTAGTGTGAATGCAAAGTGGTGTAGCCACTGTAGGAAATGGCATGCCAGTTCCCAAAAGAAATTAAACACAGAATTACTACATGACCCAACTACATGACCCACTTCTTAGTACATACACAAAAGAATTGAAAGCAGGTTGTGGGGTATCAAAGAATTTGTAATCAATGTTTATAGCAGCATTGTTCATAAGAGCCAAAACGTGGAAATGGCACAATTGTACTTTGATGGATGGATATGCAAGCAAAATATAATGGAATACTGTTCAACTTTAAAAAGGAAGTTATGATCCATTCTACCACACTAATGAATTTTGAGGACAGTATTTTAGGTGAAATAGACCAGAAGATGAAGGACAAACACAGTATGATTCCACTTATATTATATCCACATGGCAGTCAAATTCATAGAGACAGAAATTAGAATGGTGGTTGCCAAGAGCTCAGAAGAGGAAGACACGCAGTTATTGTTCAATGGGGACAGAGTTTCAGTTGGAGAAGATGTAAAAGTTCTGGAGACAGACAGCAGTGACAGCTGAACAGGAATGTGAATGTGTTTAACACTACTAAACCATACACTTAAAGATAGCTAAAATGATAATATATGTATATTTTACAACAATTTACAAAAATAGCTCCCCTCCTCTGATTCTACACTTTCAAACAATTTGTTATTATTATATCTGTTTATTTGCAATCTTCTAGTGGAAAGAATACATGACTTAGTTGGCCTATCTCTACCAATTAGTTCTCAAGGCTTTCAACTAAATATGTATTCTAACTTACACATCAGGTGCTTGTAAGTTTGGGTATCTAGAGACTATCTCGTAAAGAAGGATGGCAGGCAAAGATGACTGTCTGTTCTAGACAGCAAAGACAAGGTTCAGACCCTGGAAGGTAGTGACCACCCGCTGAGAGCCCGCAAATATTCACTCAGGCCACAGAATGAATGCTGGGATGGCTTGGTTACCACTGCTCTGGCTGGTTGCAAAAACGGCCTGTTTTAAAATGCACTACACTAGTCAACTCGGAGATGAACCTTGTTTCCCTTCATTTTCATACAACTGACTTTTGATTAAAATTACCCGGGAATAATTTCCCTAGCCACAATTACTCTTTCTTCCTGTGTCAGCTGCCTACTCTCAGTTCCAGGAAGAACAAGACCAAGACTTACTGCTATAGACGGTCTCCTAAGCTACCAAAGTGCTCTGAGGTCAAAGTCCCCTCCTCCAAGTAGTCCAGCCTCCCCTATGTTCCCAAGGCTGAAGCAGGAGCCCCTTCCTATGCTTGTAAAGCAGCCAGCGCCAAAGTCTGTGTGTCTTCTACTGCATTAACATTGCCGGTTCACACATCTGTTTCTTCCACTAGAATGTAGCCATCTGGGGACTGTATTCCATCCCCGGTATATCTCAGGGCTAGTGCTGTGTTCACAATGAGGAAGAGCACAATAACCACTGGGTAAAATAATAAACAGCAAAGTTTCCATGTGTCATTAACTCCATATCCTACCAATGATAAGACACTTCCATTGTAAGACCACTAAGAAGGAAAAAAGTGTAATTTAGAGGGACCAGCAGTTATAAGATCCATTCCAGTTCCAGGGTTTTATCACCTTGATTTCAGGTCTGGAGCAAGGAAGAAACGACCATGATTAAAGGTGGAAGAGCAGTTGATATCACTTTTTAAATACAGTTGTGTACACCTAGGTTTGCTCATTTCATTTTTACTTAATCCACTTTGGCATCAATACGTCCAGCTCTTCCTCTCAGACCAGATGCTGTTTCAGATTTAAATGAACCACTCTCCTGTCCAAATACCAGGTAACTAAAGATAATAGAGGTTCTGGTTCCTACAGCTGTAGTTACGTTCTGAAGCTCAACTTTAAAAAGCAAAACAGTATTATTTGTAGTTTCTACCAAAGCAGCATCTAAAGAGGAAGTATTTTTTCCTCCAGGCAAGATTGTAACAAAGAGAAGCTCATACACCAGGTGCTGAGAGGAAGCAGGGCACTGAAAAGTTACCAGGTAATGAAAACATTGGGAGGTCCTAGCAAAAGATTACAAAGCAATGTCATCAACAAAGCTCTGTCACCTGGAGATTGTGGAATGCAAAATACCCTTTCCCATGGTATGAGACACCGTGAAACTAAGGTTAAGTAAGTAATTTAAAAAAAAATTGTATACATGTACATTTACATAATATATGCATACATATATGTGAAACTTAAATTTGATCTCATATTGAGTAAAATCATATTTGAACATTTGATTATTATCTACACACTAAATAATCAATTAGTAATAGAAGCACATTAAATTTCAGAGGATGGACTTTGGAATTAAATATAACTGAACTCCTGACTCTACTACTTCCTCCCTCTGTGGCCCTGGGCAAGTGGCAATGTCTTCCTCTGTAAAAAGAGAATCCTAAGATTATGCACCTCACCTCACTCTAATCCTACACCTCACTATAGGATTAGATGAGAGACTGTGTAAAGTGATTAGAACGGCTGCCAAAGTGCAGGTGCTTTGTACAGGTGAGCTCCTGCCCTCTGAACTAGAACAGACGCCCACTTCCTTGCCACAGAATGCCCTTTTATCACACACTCTGGCTCTCAATTTGCTAGTGTCCCTTTCTCATGTCCAGCTTGGTCCCACTTCCCTCTCCACAATCAGCTGCTGCATTTGCAATACCGTGGAGTCCCTTGCTCTTGGCCACTTTCACCTCATATTTCTGCTGGTGCTTTTATGACCATCCCTAGGTCTAGTCTATTACAGTGACCTCTCAGCTCATCTTCCTAACTGTAAACTACCCTACATGGCTCTACTATTTATCTTCCCAGAACAAAATCCCATGCATGACACACATCTGCTCAAATTCTCAAAGCTTCCCACTGTCACTGAATTAGTTTCTTTCTGCAGCATTCAAGACATCCCACTGCTGGCCCTACTCTACTTTTCCAGGCATCTCTAACTAGTAGCCTTATTGTTAGGCAATCTGATGTACCTCTTCCTATGCTTCATTTGCTTCCTCTTCATCCATAGTCTCGGTCATATTGGAACGCCCTTCCTTCACCTCTGCATTAACTTAGAAGGTAACACACATGCACAGGAAATTAATGTGAGTCAGCTCCCTGTATAGCTATCCTTATCTCAACTAGCAAAAACCCTTGTTCCTTCCTATTATTGCTTACACTCTCTCTTCAACAAAATTAGAGATAAGGGCAGAATAGTTTCTGCCGGGTAGCGAGGGTTAAGGGTGGGTAAGGGAAGGAGTGGGGGAGGGGGAGGGGTAAGGGAGGGGGCAGAGGGAAGGGGGGAGAAATGACCCAAACATTGTATGCATATATGAATAAAATAAAAATTTAAAAAAAAATCCTAAACCTCTTTCTAGAACAGTCTCCCTTCCAGAGTACCTTTGCTGACCCTCCATACCTCCTTTGAACTCTCTATGCATGTCTCTCTCCATGACACATTTAGCCTTGACCTTGGGCTGGTTCCATCGTAAACCCAATCTCACCTCTGTAGTCTACACATGACTTTGCTACTACCAAGTGAATAATAAATACTCATATTATTTCCACTGTGTTTTATTGGTTCTGTCTATATACACATGCTTTGAACACTTGTGTCACACAAGCCACTAAAATAGAAAGATAAAATCAAATGAACTTTTTGTCCTTGGTGTCATACTCAGCAATATAGGGTGGGTGCTGGGTTTCTGGACTCCCTATCCAACAGAAATTCTTCCTATTCACTAAAACAGTCATCATTAGTTCCTTGAACATGTAACCAATACTAACTTCACCATGACATCTACTCATCTAACTATAGTTCCACAAAAACAAATCTTAATCTAAATGTAAGTATGCACTGAAAATTGAACAAGCATTTTGAGTTTTGTTGGTTGGTTTGGAGTTTTGATTTAGTGGTGCTAGAAAAAAAAATCATTGCTATGAGACAGAGTTTGGTGAAACCCTCTGTTTAATTTTAGAATAAAAGGATGAGGACAAGAGTTAAATTCATGCATTTAATATAAACCTACAGGGTCAAATGAAACTACTTTTAAAATTATGTTTTAACTATATCTTTGATATTGGGCAGTTTTCACCACTAAAAAGTCTCCTTGATTCAAGTCAGCAAGTTAGATAAAAAATTATTTACTAAGCTGGCTGAGAAAGAAATTAAATAAGAATATCTTACTAATGGACTCCCAAAGACTTCTCAGTTTTTAAAGTCTGGCCCTAAACTACTTGGCCAAGGAATGACAAAAAGAAAAAAATGTGCTCAAAAGATCTTTCTCTACTCCACCTCTTCAAATTGGGATTACCAAGAGCTCCAAAATAATTGTGTAACTCAATCAAATTAGAATGTTCAACAATTAAAATCCAATAATGCCAACAAAAGAAAGTAGGTAAATAACTCAAGATACTGCCTCTTGACAGAAACAGCGCCATTTTTCAAATCACATCCTCTCCCTGTTTTAAAATCTCAGAAAATGATCACAGAAGCATCTGTATTATGAGTATTTTTGCTAGTCAGTTACTTTGGTACTTGTCTGCACACCGTGATTACCCTTTCCAAATTTTCTCAGACCACGTTGATGTCATGTGATGCGTGTTAAGCACTAGAAGCAGTTTCTTAAATTCTATAATCAAACTTTTCATATGGTGGATCTTCACATACATAAATTTGCAGACCAGTTTTTTTAAAAAAGAGAGGGAGGAAGGTCTTCCTATCCTTCTCCTGGTCTTTTTATGAGATGCTGAAGCACCATAGCCAGTTAAAGGTCAATTTTGGCCCTTGCTAGAGCACCAGTACTCTTGTCACTGTCTCTCCACGTCTTCTGAGAATTTTTTGAGAATTTAAAAAGTTTTACCACATCCTCTCACTAAGACTCAAAAATGAGTCTAAACAAGTGTGTTTGCTGAAGCATCCCCTGAGTGATCAGAATTCTCCCTGAAGCCATCCCAACTGTAATAACATTGGGAACACTCACTCACCTTTGGCATCTCAATAATTGATGGTCTGGGGATGGAAGTTGGAAAAGTAACTGCTTCACTTTCTGGTTCATCATGCAGGGTCACAGGCAAATCCCCCGGACTCTCAGCAGGCCGGACAGTGGTACGCTTACTGGAGTTCCGATTTGCACAGCCATTTCGCTCTGCCTGGGTGCCAGAATCTCTCCTGTTCTCTGGAGCTCTTTCTTCCACCCTTGGGTGACTTGGGTGTCTGCCCACTTTGGCCATGGGCTGTACATAGATGGTGGAATGAGTTTCAGTAGTGCTGGACTGATCAAAGCGGGCATTATCCCTGCTATTCCCAAAGCAAGCCAGCAGAGCTGAGCATGGAAACGAATGCATCCTTCCAGGTGGAGACTTCAGTCTTTTGGTGAGCCTTGCTTTCCACGTGGACATGACCTACAGCAGCACATTGCAAAGTTCAAAGGGGAAAGGCAATTTTCCAGGGCTTTCCTTATAGTAACTATTTCTGTGCCTCAAGAGAAGGACTTGCAAGTAACTGCTGCTCCTAAAATAGAAGTGGAAAAGGTGACAGGGTCACCATCCCCAAGTCATTCAGCAGTTAGTCCCCGTTGGAAGTGTCCATCCTGGGCAATTTCACACTCTTCCTTCCTTGGTGCTGTCAGTGGCTAAAGAAGGCTGTCTGTGAGGCATGCTGTTGGCTCAGGTTACAGTGCCAGCAGGGCAGACGCTTCAGTGTAAGGTAGTGCCAAGTCAATAGACAGCTGCTTCAGGTTACCTTGGAGGCATAAAGATAATGTAGCCTGATAGTATCCACCATAATAGCGTCAGCCTGTGTATCAATAACATCATAATAGCAGCAAACCCTTCTTCAGTTACCTCCTTCAAATATTTATTCCCCAAAACAAAACAAAACAACCCAGTTATCTACCTTGGTGAAGACCCCCAAGAGGGTCCACAACCCTAGAAGCTGTTTCATTATTAAATTAAGAGATAGGTAGACTCAATCTTTCTTCCAGAGAGATCCATCCTTGGGTCTGATGTCACAAGGACTTTTCTGGTTCTTTACTGAATCTTCCACCCAAAAGGAGTTTTCTGGCTTCAGGATTCATACTGGATCTTTGTTTGTCTTTTCCTACCCAACCCAGGCTAAGTTCTTGATTAGTTTTCAACAATACAAGAAAAAGAATCCATATAAACAACAAGCATTATATATTATGTTACCACATGTGAACGTACTATTTGTGTGTGAAAGAGTTCTCTGTCTACTATAGGTATTGCCTAACTTTAGAAAGCAAACCCCTGTTGAACACAGATCTCATATTAATATGTGGTGAAAGAAATAAAAATAAATTATACCTATATTCTAAGACAACTCAAAATCAGGATTTTTCCTTAACCAAGCATCTGCTAGGAATGTTACAGAAATAAAATGCTACAATGGTTTTACCATTAATTGTGACTTTGGGTTTAAGGTTTCAGGGTACATTACCCACTCTTATTTGCTTGGTCTCTCTTTTAATTTAATGGCAAAATGTGTGCTTAAGCCCAGACAGGTAGTAGTTATTATGGCACTAGTCCCCATTTTTCCAGAGGTAGAAACCAAGACTTTGAAATTTCACCTGACTAAGGCCATGACCTTAGTCCAAGCCCATGACCTCTGTCCAAGATCTGAACTTTTAGCATCATTCAATCTGGCCATAATCTTAGCCATGTAACAGCCATGTTGGCAATATTGCTAAAAAATGTGCAGTCATTTCCATAGTACCTGGAGGTAGATATGGTTTAAGAAGAAGTGGATATGGCATTAAATGCAAACTTTATTTTAGTGTTTACCAAAAGTTATAAATGGAATATAAAAAGCTGCCATTTATTCAGAAATTACCAATAGCAACAGGCCTTATGTCAGACTTCCCATGTTGATTATGCACCTCCCTTTTTTAGGGGGTGGGGGAATGGGACAGGATCTCTCTGTGCAGCCTAAGTTGACCTCAAACTTGCAATCCTTTTGTCTCATCCTCCTGGATGAAGGAGGTGCTGGAGTTGCAGGCATGGCCACCATATCTGGCTCATCTTCATTTTAATACAGGTGCAAGAAGTTCAAACCCCTTCTGATGGAACAGGACCTCCAGGGTTCTACAAGGCTCCCTCACTAAGTATTCCTGGTGAGTCCTAGGACTTGTGTTCTATCTCTCATTTGCCCTACCTACCACAATCAGTTCAGACAGAGTTGTTCCACGCTGCTTTCCTCCTCCATCTTCTCTTTTCAGTGCACATTTACAGGTAAGCCAGGCTTGGATGGTTAACAAGGACTTTTGAAAGCTTGGGCATAATACGAAGTGATTCAAGACAAGAAAAAAACAATTCTTAAACCTGGTGTCATTCACTAATCCATTTGTTTATGCAACTAATGCTAAGCAGTGTCTAGAAGACAGATACAGCAGTTAACATTGTAGTGGCTCCATTCAGCAGAACACCAGGTAAGAAAGCTCAGAGCCCCTGCCTTGGATCTGCTGTCCTTGGCTGTGAACCTGCAGCCCTGCTGTAGGGACCACCTTACCTTGCTCAAGGCATGTGCTCAAGAACATTCCAAACCTCCCAGAATCCTAGCACCAACCATCAGTACCCGTGACTTTTTTGAACTAATGTTGCTGCTAAGTCTGTGCTAGAATAATAACACAAACAGATAATGGTCACTGAGTATTCAGTATCAGGCATGAATCTCATCAAATTAACTCATTCATTCTTCACAACCCTAAGAAGAAAGGTGATATCATTATTCCCATTTTTACCCATCAGAAAAACAAGACAGAGAAACTCAAGTAACTTGCCCAAGGTCACTGTACTGCTAAGGAAGAGATCCAGCATGACGAGCCCAGGCAACCTGGTCCAGAGTTCATGCTCTTAATCAGTATGCAAAACCACTTCACACACACGCACGCACACACTCCAAGAGGACCTTTCTAGTGACCTTCAATCCAACACTCTACCTCTAAGAACTTATTTTATAAATATGTATGTCCCTCTGGGAATTTTCATAGCATTGATATTCATAATTACAAAACTCATTGTTAATCAGCAGAAGACAAGTTAAATATATTAAAACATCTGTACAATTAAATATTATTCATCTATTAAAAAGAAAGATGTAGAAAGTTCATGTATTACATAGTGTACATAGTGTACCAGTGAAGCATGTGTACGGAGACTCTACTTCGTAAGAAATTATTAATATAATAGGAATGGCGTCCTTTTAAAGGTTTCCATGCACAGCACTAAAAAGCACAGGAAAGGGGTCATTGGTATACAAGAAAACTCCTATAAAACAGAAAGCAGACAAAATATCATTAATGAAAAAGTCACAGTCAGCATACTGAACAGAACCACACAGAAGATCTTGACTTGGACAGTAGCAATAGAACTCTAGAGTATGTCTGAAAAGGTCTGAAAACAGATTAATCGAAGTTCTCATAATGGAAGTCAAATTGCCTAGACTTACCTACCTGAAGACAGTATGTAATAAGTACTTATCCTCCATTCACAAAGCTCAAGTCAATCTTTAAACTCTTCTCTCATATAAAAATATAAATAAATAAGAAGATATCTCTGGCCTCTGAAAAGAACTGCAACAGTCAAGGTACACAGAAGAAAAGATCCTAGCAAGAAGAAAGGGAGTGTGGCAGGTGAGTGGGCAGCAGTGTCTGTCATTCAAAGTACGGCCCAAGTATGGAGTGAAACCCAATGCAGCTAGGTGGGAGGTAAAAGGGGGGGAGGAGAATTGGCAGCTCTATACTAGAACATTCTCCTTTTTTTGGCAGAACTGGGGCTTGAACTCAGGGCCTATGTTTGCTAGGCAGTGCTTGACCGTTTCAGCCACTCTACCAGACCTAGACCATTCTCATTGAATGCCACATGACAGAGATCCTAGAGAACTTCAGAACTCTTAATGTGTTCTGCCTTAAAAACTGTTTGCATAGCTATAATGATACAAATGCTATTTGCATTTTTCTCAACTTTCAGAATTAAGATTCAGACCAATAGCTGGATTTAGTGGCTCTCAAGAAAAATTAGGTCTCCAGATGGATTTTGTTCAGCTAATAACATTTTAAAATTTTATTACATGACTGTTTGACCACAGTAACAATCACTTTGGATATTTCATAAGGTCAACTCATAAATTTATGTAAGCAAAACCCAGAAGACACTAGAGTTCATCACCAAAGGTTGGTATTTGTTTTTGTTGTATTATTATTATCATTATTATTTTTGGTAGTTTCGGGAATTAAACTCAGGGCCTCATACTTGCAAGTACTTTGTCACTTGAGCCACACTCCCAGGTTTTTTTTTGTTTTTAGTTTGATTTTTAGGTAGGTTCTCATGCTTTTGCTTATACAAGCCTCTGACTTTAGTCCTCCTACTTCTGCCTCCGATGTAGCTGGGATTATAGGTAGATGCCACCACAACAAGCTCTAGGTAGTCATTATTTTTGATGCCTAGTATCTCTGCCCTTTCTCTTGGTAGCAGCACCCTATTTCTTCTTGGGGAACTCCATTACTTGGTTGAGACTCCTGGTCTGATTACAGGAGTGGAGCACAGTGCACAGGGTTAGGTACCCATCATGCCCAAAGTCCCTGTTCACAGCCACTGGTTCAGGACGGCCATGGGAATGCATTCCAATCAGAATGAGTCCTACAATTGGACTACTTGGAAAACAAAACTCTCTTTTTTCCAGATTTTGGCAACTGGGTAAAGCAGTTGCCAACATCTTACCTTCTTGAGGACGGACAGAGTTCACCCAGTTGATCTAACACAAAGCACAACTTAAGAGCTGGAGAGCAAGGGAAGCAGGGCCCTTAAAACACTTTTGGATGAAGCTATATCTTGAGACTGGAGCTGTCCTTACCCTTTGGCATTTATTATGAAAGCAAGCACATTTCCTTTCCTGTTTCACTTGCTTCGAGTTGATTTTTCTGTGACTTGCTACCAAGAGTCTTAATCAACATGTACCTGCAAATCAGAACAGATTTCACTGTGGTTCCAGAGTATATTGAAAATGCTACCAACCTTAACAAGGCAAAATAAAGGGAAAGATAGAAAGTTGGTTGTGGATGGGGGCAATATAAGAACAGGGAAGGTTGATTTTGCTAAGATTTTGGTATTTCAAAGTGAAAAGATGCTCCTAAGATACTCAGGAGGCTGAGGCAGAAGGATCGTGAGTTGCAGAACTTAGTGAGCCAGCCTGTCTAAGAAAGAGAAACAAAGAAAGAAAAAGAATAAATAGAGTTTTAAATATGGTGTTTGAGATTGCAGAGATGACAAGGGGAGAAATTAGAGATGGACCAGTGTTGGAAGAAGATAGGGTAGAATAAGCAGCTAAATGTTCACCTGTTTACTAGAAAATCAATAATGTCTGAAATTAGTAGGAACATAAATGG